TACATCTAATTAGAAATATGCATAATTAGCATTTTTCATTGAATTAGAATGCTGCATAATTAGCATTTTTCATCGAATTAGGATTCTACATAATTAACATTTTTATTTAGCATAATTGTGTCTATGCATTTTGTTTTAGTAGCCTTTGAATAGCATAGTAGGTAGTCATCTATCCTTGCTTAATATTACATCATTCAATTCTCTACACTTTGGGTTGTGTTTCTGCATATTTGTATTCTGCATTCGTCGAGAAAGTACACGGACATGTATATAACCGTGTAGATCACTGCCCAAAAATTCTCAAAAAAAAAGAAAAGAAAAAGTTGGCATAACTTAAAAGTGGTATAACTTTTTGCATACAGCTTCGATTTCTTATTATAATATATGCATTTCATATAACTCGACAAGATCTATGCAATAGCAATAGGCCGAAGGCCAGTTGGTGGTTTCTAAAAAACAAATATGTCTTTTAATTCTTATTTAAATATTATGACTGATAGAACTTTTCATGCTAATGATCAAAGAAGAATAGAAAACAAGCTAGATAATTTAGCTTCTTTGATCAAGCAATTGACTTTCTCACAGATGGATACAATGTTTTGTGAGATTTGTACTTCACCTGAATATTCCACTGACTTCTGTCCTATTTTGCATGGTATGGTACTCATAAAAATTCTTTAGGGTACCACAGAATTTATAACAATGAAATGAAGTTTTAATCTTTTTATTAAATAATTATATTCTTTAATTAATTCAAATATACTTATCTCATTCATTAAATGGAATTAATTTTATACTTTAAATTGTTTTACGTCATATTTCAAATTTTGATAAATTAAATAACAAAATATTTGATTGCTTAATTTTATTTATTTTATTATATAAATCTTTGCAATATTAATATGTAATTTATATTATCTTTGATTATTCAATAAATTATAAAAAATTTATGTATAATTTACGCTATCTTAAATTCTCTTCCAATATGAATATTCAAATTCAAATAAATTCAAACTTTTTTATTTACAAATAATAATATTTTTTAAATTATTAAATTATTTTTAATGATTTACAATGTAGTTGTGTGATCTCTTTCTATATTATTTATCGTAGGATAAGAGTATAACCATATTGAAATTGTATGAATTAGACTGAGTCTGAAGGTGTTCGACCTTCGACATATTGTTTGATTGTATATTGTGAGATTTGTGGTAATTTTTGTGTTAGATTGATATATTATACTGATTGTATGCTGTGATATTGTATGATAACTTTCTATGTTAGATTGTCATGATACAATAAATATAGATATGATTTGATAGCTAAAGTGTATTCAAATTGAGTAAATTCACATGAATGATTGAAGTATTGATTGATATTGAAAGTATATGATGTATGATAGAGAAAGAATGAGATACATGATTATGATGCGTGGATCAAAATAACTTGAAAAGGTTAATTATGATACATATTATAGCATATTGAAGAATGTGTTATATTATCTATTGTGATCCATGAATTTCTATAAATTATAACCCACGTATTATGACATGCTGATTGATAGAAAGAATATGAAAATGAGAAATGTTGAGAAATAGAAAGAGAATAAGTATAGATAGTACAGTGACACACACTGGGGGTATAGAGTCTAGAGAAGATTTGGAAAATCTTGAAAAAATGAGGATGATAATTGCTAATGATAAAAAGGTGCACAGTAATTTATTGAACAATAGACATTCACAGGTCACACCCTCATTTCCTGACGAAGCTCCTAACTATACCTTTGCTAAAAGGGACTAGGACGGCACATGTGTATCTGTGATATTGCGGCCAACCAGTAGCTATCTATGCTAGGAAGTCCTCAAGGGATCTTAGGGAAAATTATTATTAAAGTGTTATAGATGTATAATGGTAAAGAATATGTATGATTATAATATATTTATCGTAATGGATCAATTTTTTGTTGTTATAATATAAGTATTGTAGTACATTGACGCGTGTGACTGGGACACATATATCGTGACATATGAATTGAGATGATATGATATATATATATATATATATATATATATATATATATAATAACATGCATGTCAACATAGAAATGTATGTTTAATGAATGAAGTATTGTATATGCTTTGATTGATAGTTGTATTATTGTATATATTTGGATGGGATGAATGTAAATATGAATTGTGCAATATTGATAATGAATTAAAATAGAGTATTAGACAATAACTTTAATTGCTTTTATGATAATTCATAATAAAAGAGATTTAATGGGGCGGAAAAATATTCACCTTTACTGAAATATTTAAGGTAATGAAAGAGAAGAAACAAAGATAAATGATCCATTTTAGGGTCATATTCGTCAAAGATTATGGAAATAGAACTGCTCAGATATAATAAATTTTAATGTAATAGATGTATAATTCCGTTTATGTATTTTTATTCCTTGAAAGTAAAAGTTTTTATTGAGAGATTTTGTAAATTTGTCAAATTTTATTAATTTGTATTTTCATGTTGTATCATTTATTTAAACCTGTACAATTTCTTACAAAATTTCTTATTTATATTTTTAATAATGTAAATATTTAAAGAAAATTATTGATAGAAGAGAAGGATGTTACAATTCTCCCTTCACGAGGCATAACATACTTCTCTTTAGACCTCACCTATCTCAAATCCAATTAAGTCACAATTTTGCTTTATAGTTGTCACAATCGGATGGTTATAATGATATGGCAAAAATGTATTAAAAAAACATCTTCTAAGAATAATTTTTTTTTTTAAAAAAAAAATCAGAGGAGTCATAACCAAAGTTTATTAAAGAAAATCTTGAAAAAAGATATTTGGAACAAAAATTGAGTTTGAGAGTCGTTTACACTTATGAAAGGTATTAGAATCTTGAAAAGTTTGTTTAAATAATGGTTACCTTAAATTAATTGTGTAAATTTATTTTAATTTTAAAAAATATTTATTTAACCTCTAAATAAAAGTGTTGTTATTTTTATTTTTAAAAAAGAAAAATTTATTTATTAAAATATTAATTGGTATCTTTAGGAAAGAAAAATAATTTTGAAAATAGTTTTGACTCGACGTGTTTGTTCCTGTTCCTATGTATCCCAGGTGCAACGAAAAACTCAAAGTCAGTAGTTCTATCATAAATATTATGAAGTTGATTAATTAAAATTAAATTTAGTAAAAGTAAGTTTATTTTGAGACTAAAATTAATTTATAATATTATATTTTTGATACAAAATAATGTGGTTATACACGTATCTTATGATAAACAATATAGAAAAAAATTAAAAATTACATAACTATATTACAAATTGTTAAAAAAAAATCATTTTAAAGTATGTTTGTTTATGAATGAAATATTTGAAATTATATTCAAATTTAGAAGTTTATATTGAAAGAAAATTTTTTAAGATAGTGTAAGATATACATAAATCTTTTATAATTTATTAGATTATCGAAGGTGATATAAATTATATATCGATATTGCAAAAATTTATATAATAAAATGAAGAAATAAAATTAAGTAAAGAAAAGTTTGGTTATATAATTCATCAAAATTAGAAATGTAACTTAAGAAAATTTAACATATAAAATTAATATCATTTAATGAAAATAATAAATATATTTAAATTAATTAAATAAAGACAATTATTTAATAAAAAAAATTAAAATTATATTTAATAAATTTATATTACATAAGACTCAAATAACGTTTATACACGTGAGTCTTAACGATTTAAAGCATATAAAGGTAAAAATATTATAAAATAATGTTATAAATCATTGCATTAATATAATTAAAATATTCTATATGATAAATTTTAATTAAATAAAAAAATATATAATTGATTAATTTTAAAAGTCAGAAAATAAAAGATTATTTAATTAATAAAAAATGTAAATAAATAAAAGTAAAAACTTTTAACATTTTTCACTTGAAAAATCTTCTAAATTTTCAAAGTATAAAATTTTAGTAGATAAAAATTTATTTTCTCTAATTATTTATTAATATTTTATTTTATAAATACAAAATAAATTAAATTTTATTAAATAAAATAAATAATTAAAATATTTTTCTGAATAAAAAGTGGTCAGAAGTCCAAAATATACTAATAATTTAATTTCATATTCTTTGAAATATCAGTGAAGCAAGTCGAATTGGAATTTAGAACTTAGTAAAAATAGTTTTAAATATCAATCCTCTTTTTATTTATTTATTTTTTTATGTAGGAGGTCTCATGAAGTTACGAATCCCTTAGCTGAGTTTTTTACTTTTTCGCCACTTTAGAATAATTTGAGTTTCAGAGGGCACACTTAAGGTTAATTGCGGTTAGCTTATGCGAGAGAAAGGAGCTTATATTAGTAGGGAATTTGAAAATTAGGGTACTTTGCTGAGTTTTGTGTAGTTATTGAAATGTATGGTTTTTTGGAACGACATCTGTCAATGTATAGAGGTTTGTATTGTTATGTCTGTTTGCATTTAGATCCACGCTTGTCAATTTAAAAATAATAATTATCATATTAAGAGAGTGTTTTATATTCTATTTAGATTAGCGTTATAATTCTTCTATTATTTTAAAAATAGAAAATATTAATATATATTTTAATTATATTACTAATTTTATTTTTTATTAATATAAAATTAGATCATGATTATTTTATATGTAAAAAAATTAAATTATTATAAAAAAATTAAATCCTCTTAATTAAAAAGGGTAAATTTTATCTTTAAAAATATTACATTCTATTTATCATTTTGTATTAATAAAAAAAATCCTATAAATATTATGAGTACATTGAAATAAATAATTTAATCAATATATTTTATTACATAAATAATTATAAAGTATTTTTATATTGGTCTTCTAAATGTTCCTAAATCTAATTTTATGAAATTTTGGTAATATTGTACTATGCTGACTCACATCGGAAAAAAAAAAAACACTGCCTAAAATGCAAAGAAGGAACTATTGTTTGAACAACGCATGATCTGTAAGTGTGTTCTCGTAGGTGGAACCTCTGCGAGCAGTGGCGGAAACCACTTAATTCCCTCGTCAACATTCGATAATCAAGTGAGTGTTCATTTCGAAAGTCGATGCATTTCATTCATCTTCGTATTTTTCATTCAATTTGATCGCTTTTCCTCGAAAAAAAAAAAAGGGACAAACTGGTAAATGGATCAAGGGAGGCAGGTGTTCACAGTGGACCTTCTGGAACGATATGCTGCAAAAGGACGCGGAGTCATCACATGCATGGCTGCTGGAAATGATGTCATTGTGATTGGAACCAGCAGAGGATGGGTCATTCGCCATGATTTTGGGGTTGGCGATTCGTTTGGTAATGGTTCAATTCCTTCAATTCGCAGTTCCATATTTTCCTTTGAATTTTAAAGAGTAATCCTATACCTACCAACAATAATTGTTACTCAACGGAGAGGGATAGGAAGAGAAGGGGGTAGTGAGGTGTAAGTTAAGACAAAAAAAAAGTGAAGATGTAGAAATTGTTGTAAAATTTTGTGGTAAGAATAATAATAGTCATTTTTAAAGAGCGAAAGTGAATTGGTGTTTGACATGTTATTTACATGGGTATTTCAAATTCAGTAACTTTTACATTTTGGGTGTCTGAATTGGTGATTTAACTATGATATGGTGTAGATATAGAGTAGGGGTTCTCTGTTTATATGTTTTTTTAGGGTTATTGATAGTGGCGTGTAGTTGAGCTTATGCTGGGATTTGGGATTGTTTTTGTGCCTTGATGAAATGCTTGTTCAATTGGATTGTTGAGGGTCTGATATGTTATTGTCTTTTTGGAGTGCAGACATTGATCTCTCCGCGGGTCGTCCTGGGGATCAGTCAATCCACAGGGTTTTTGTCGATCCTGGAGGGAGTCACTGTATTGCCACTGTTGTTGGTCCCGGGGGAGCTGAAACTTTCTATACTCACGCCAAATGGACCAAGCCACGGGTATTGGGCAAGATGAAAGGCCTTGTTGTAAATGCTGTTGCATGGAACAGGCAGCAGATAACTGAAGGTAGTTAGTTGATCGCTTGTTTGATTTATGCCTGTTGCAGCTTGTTGATTTATTTATGGCAAAGACTTTCACTTACCCGTTTCTGCTTGAGGTTCTGACTGAATTTTTATATGCAGTTTCCACGAAGGAAGTCATTCTTGGTACAGAAAATGGTCAACTTCATGAGCTGGCTGTGGATGAGAAGGACAAGAAAGAGAAGTATATCAAATTTCTCTTTGAATTAACCGAACTTTCAGAAGCTTTTATGGGTTTGCAGGTATATCTTTTGTCTGTTTACTGCTATTGGTTCTTTTTTCAAGATATTGTCTATGGTTTTGTCCCAATTTCAAGAAATTTAAAGAAGAGTGATTGGTAACCCTATAGTTAGTTAGAGGTATAATTAGTTAGTGTTTAGTGTGTTAGTTGTTTAAGTTTGTTGATTGTGCTGAGAAGGAGAAGAATAAAGGCAGATTGCTTATATATAAACAACTAAATAACTTGAAAGTGACCAGTTTTCTATCATAGAGTTTGGGAGAGAGGAGTATCTTGTTATTTGTGAGAGGACTGAGCCTTTGGGCATTGGGTGGTGCAGAGACTTGAAGTTTTGCAACTTAGGCACTGTATTCAGGCTAGAATTCCCTTATTCTTTCTAATAAGTGACCAGTTTTCTAGCATAGAGTCTTGTTTAATTTTGAGGCCAAATGTGAATAAGGCATTCAATTTTCATTTTGGTTCTTGTCCTTTCTGTTCAGATGGAAACAGCTAGCATAATCAATGGGACTAGATATTATGTGATGGCTGTTACTCCTACTCGGCTTTACTCTTTCACTGGCTTTGGTTCACTGGAAGTAAGTCAAATACTAACTATATAAATTTTCACATTTTGTTTTTTTCCCCTCTCTACATTTTAGTAGTTGAGTAACCTATCTGTACATTTTGTTTTTAGAAGTTAAAAAAATGTCATATAATTCTTATGAACATGTGATTACAGATATTGTGTATCTGTTCGAAAACATGATGTTTTATTCTATCACATTATTAAAGATTAATATCCTTTTTTTTCATTATTCCCTTCCCTTCATTATATTTAAATGTTTATTTTTACTAATCATTATACAACTGTAGACTGTTTTTTCAAGTTATTTAGATCGCACGGTACATTTCATGGAACTTCCTGGTGACATTCCAAACAGGCAAGGAGACTCTCTCTGTCTCACTTTATAATAATAATAATAGTGTTATATCAAGGGAACATTCAACATAAAATATTAAAATGTAAGAGATCGAAAGGCTGAAAATTCCCTTATTATTTATAGTCTCACATTTGTTTTGGGTATATAATCTATCCTTTCTAAGACTTCATTGTATTGGTTATCTTCCAGTGAGTTGCATTTTTACATTAAGCAACGAAGAGCTGTACATTTTGCATGGCTTTCTGGAGCTGGTATTTACCATGGTGGCTTAAATTTTGGAGGACAGCAGAGGTAGTAGAGAATGAATTGACTTTGTTGTGTGTTTCATCAATAATGGATATTGATTCAGAAAATGTTCACTATGTGGGTCATGGTTCTGCAAAACTCATGTCAGAACATGCTATTTGTGCTTTATGAATGGTTCTTAATTTTGTTTTGTGAAATCTTTCGATATTTTTTTGGGAACTTATTCACCTTTGGCTTACACATTTTAATAACTTGACAGCTCTTCAAGTGGAAATGAAAATTTTATTGAGAACAAGGCCCTTTTGGACTACTCCAAATTGTCTGAAGGAGCTGAAGTAGTTAAACCAAGTTCAATGGCTTTGTCTGAGTTCCATTTCTTGTTACTTTTAGGGAATAAGGTCAAGGTGTGTTGCACATATATATCACTTTTGTTTACATCCTTATGTCCATGTCATGCACAATCTCTGTTTGAAAAATTTCATGTATGCTTGCTAAAATATTTGAAGATTTTAACATTTGTAGGTTGTAAACAGAATTAGTGAGAACATCGTTGAGGAACTTCAGTTTGATCAAACTTCAGATTCAGCATCAAAGGGTATTATTGGATTGTGTAGTGATGCCACGGCTGGTTTATTTTATGCATATGATCAAAACTCTATCTTTCAGGTTTGTGCTGTTGTCTCACTATCGTAGCTTTCTGAATTTTGGATCTAATTGTCTTTGTTGTAATTGATTGTGCTGTGGTATTTGATAATTTAGTAGGTGTCTATCAATGATGAAGGACGAGATATGTGGAAAGTATATCTTGACATGAAAGAATATGCTGCTGCTTTAGCAAATTGTCGTGATCCTTTTCAAAGGGACCAAGTATATTTAGTGCAGGTACTGTTCATTTGCTTTGATAGTACTGCCTACGAAATGGTTGTCTGGTGACACAAATTCATGTTTTTTTATTTTTATTTTTTTGGTGTTTGACTGAAACAATTTTTGGTGCAGGCTGAAGCTGCGTTTTCTTCTAAAGATTATTTTAGAGCCGCATCTTTCTATGCCAAAGTAAGTTTTCCTTTTAAGTTCACTATTTTGATATATTTAGTTTGTTATATTAATGCTGGAATTTCCTTTGGTTTTGTGACATCTGGTTGCTTAAAAGTTGTTGTACTGCCCCTTGGGCTTTTGATTCTCTATATTTGGTGGTAGACTTGCCTCTAATGAATAGACTTGTGTTTATGTGTAATAGTTTAAAACTGCTACTCCTTTTTTAATTATGTAACATCACACTCTTGTTGAGAAGGAAGATGAACGAGAGATATAGAATGAATTTGTGTGTTTAAATTGCACATTGGAGCAACGTTATCAATGGCAGATGGCAGGTCATGGCGGAAATCCAAAAAACTGCCATAAAGTTATGGCGGCTGCCATGGCAGATATAATAAAATATATAAAAAATATTATAGGTCACAAGAAATGATAAAAAAGAATTAACTCAAAATATATGTAGCATAACCCACAATCTAAAACATAATTCAATGCAAAATATGCGGTCATCAAAATGTCAACAATAAAAATAAAGATTATCAATCTAGTCCTCTTCTTCAACTACAATGTAATCATCTTTTTCATCCACCAAGGCATATCCCTTCTCTTCTCCTTCAGACTCTGAAAGATTAATTTCTAATTCATTTTCTGTTTCTTCTAACATCTCTTCATCTTCTAATTCTTCATCATCATCATCATCATCATCTTCAATTACCATTTTCTCTTTCCCTTTTGTTGTTGAACATGTCTTGATCTTGGAAACTTTTGCAGCTTTAATAGTAATACCACTTGATGGACTCTTTCTTTTCTTAAAATGACGCCTAGTATATGTTCTAGGCTCTCCAAATGCAGAATTCATAAACAGTTGCCCAAAATTATGAATCCTAATTATATATAATTAAAAGGCTGAACAATATTCCTAATTTATAATAGGAAGTACATATACGTATAACAGAGCAGCAGATTGTTAGGGAAAATAATAATGGTCCAGTGGACTCCTTGCCTAATAGTAGAGTATATATTTATGATAGGAATCATTAATACAAGAATTAAATAAGAATATACAGTTACCTAATTACTGGAATTACAAAGATATAACCTTCCCTATTTACAACATTAGACAGGCCACTGAATATTTTAAAAGTTCTGTTTGTAAATTTGAACTTTGGAGGTGTAGAATTTTTTTATAACATCACTTTTACATTCATTACACAATTTTGATAATTTGGTGGTAATTGTGTTTTGTACTGAAGCAACGTGCCTATCATGCTTTCAAGTAGTAACATTTTTGAATATTTGTCAATCCAAAAGAAAAACAAATCTGACATGAATATGATTTGCAGATCAATTATATTTTATCATTCGAGGAGGTCACATTGAAATTCATTAGTGCCAGTGAACAGGTACTTGTCATGTTACTGGTGTATACAGCTCTATGAAACTAAGTAGATAGCCCTTTGATATTCCTCAAAAAAGAATTATACGGCAGCAGTGTTTCTGGTGTGTGTATTTCTGGAAGAGTTCATGTAGTAAAGTTGTTTTTCAAGAAGAAAATCTTTGATTATACTACGCTGCTCTATTTTAGCTTTGTTTTTCGTTTCTAAAACTTATGTGTATAAGTTTGCTTAATGGTAAATTTATATAGCATCATAGTATTCCTTACGGGCATTTTATATTTACAGTTATTGCTTTACTATGTGGGCATATATTTGAATTGCTTTCTTAAAATTTGACTCATGCATATACAAATTCACTGGTTTTTCTTTTTGCAGGATGCTTTGAGAACTTTCTTATTGCGGAAGCTTGATAATTTAGAAAAGAATGACAAATGTCAAATAACAATGATATCCACTTGGGCAACTGAATTATACCTGGACAAGGTTTTACTACATTTCTAACACTTCGAAGGAAAATTTAGTTTCCATTTTTATTCCTTTATCCCAATATTTATGAACAATCACGTGATGAAACCTTATATATTATCCCTCAAGGTTAAAGATATTTTTCGTGTGCAGTTTAATTTTGGTTTCATATCTTTATCTTTTAGATAAATCGACTGCTCTTGGAGGATGACTCTGCTTTGGAGAATAGCAATTCAGAGTACCAATCAATTATTAAAGAGTTTCGTGCTTTTCTAAGTGATAGCAAGGATGTATTGGATGAAACAACTACAATGAAACTTTTAGAAAGGTAGAAGTTGATACTTGATATGTCTGCTGCTTGTTGATTTTTGGCTGGATGTATTCTTGTTGCATACCTGTTATCTTCAATTTTATTTGTACAGTTCTGATATTTTACATGAACTTCTCTCAACCACATGTTATTTCATTTACACTTCAATTCAACAAAGTGCTGTAGCAAAAATAAAGGATGTGCTTTAAGGGCAGAGTGGGGATTCAGATCCATGCTTGTTTGATTTGATTATTTTTGTAGTTTTGATAGTTTTAAAATTTAGTTATCATTATGACTATTCATGAGGAAACTATTGGATTTCTAAATGAGGATACTGAGTCTACAAGGATTGAAGCTGAGAAGATTAAGTATATATGGATTATTTGTTATCTAGGTTCAATGGTGTTAGTTCCATCCTTCTGTGTTGGATGTTGCAGTTTTCAATTTTACATCCATCACACTGATGTGTTAGTCAGGTTCTTTTAGGGCATTAATTACTTCTGGGAATCACAAAATGAAGAAGACACAAGAAAAATCTGAGGAAGTACACTGATATTGGTGTCATTTTGCTGAAAGTGTTACATTTAATGCACAATACAAAAGGGTGCTGGGTTTTTGTTATGAATAATGATGTGTATGTGATGTGTATGGGTTAGACTTGGTTGACACCAATGTGGATCAAAGTTAATTTTATGCTGATGATTGAACTTGTTATATGATCACAAAATCTACCATTGGACTGAAAGTTTGTCTCTTGTTCATAAAACTTTTCATTAAGTCTATATTTCTGTACTACATCCGTTTATATAAATTGTCAAATGTTATTTATTTTTTGGGAGAAATTTTAAATTTTGTCTTTATTAGAAATGGATTGGGCCTAATTCTCTCCATGCACTAACTCAAAGGAAGAGGATTGCCCAAGTATTATAATGAGTGTTTGGACTAGACAATTGGAGTATGAGGTTTGCAAGACTAAACAGCTATAGATGGTCCAATAATAAGAGTGAATAAGCTCTAATATCATATTAGAAATAGAATAGACTTAACAAGCTCCCAAAAGGAGAATTGCCAAGTCTTATAAGGAGTATTTTGGTTGTATTTTTAGTCAATTTGGGACATCTTAACAATCTTTCAGTAACATTATATTTATTGTTTTTCATAATAATCCAAGCAGAATCAGCACTCCAGTTTACTTAGCTGTATATTGCCATGTCATTGTAAGTTTGGCTAGAGTTAGTTCTATACGGTTACTGATCTGATATAATTTTGGTTTTTCAATTCTTAACAGTTATGGAAGGGTTGAAGAATTGGTATATTTTGCTAGCTTAAAAGGGCAGTATGAGATTGTAGTGCATCATTACATTCAGGTGCCCTGATTCCACTTTGAGTTCGATGTCATTACTACAGATATTCATTTTGAGATATATACCATCTGATATTGATTGTATGTCTTTTCATTGTTATTTGTTTCTGATTGTGTTTTTCCCCCAGCAAGGAGAAGCAAAAAAAGCATTGCAAGTGCTTCAGAAACCTTCTGTACCTATAGATCTGCAGGTATGATTCATCTTTGGGATGTGGTGCATGATCTGTCTACGTTGTATCCCATTCTTCCTGAGCTTTTTAGCTGTTACTTTTGTTTGGGACTGAGCCTCTCAATCTCTTTTGAGGAATATTACAAGGAATTAACAATATTGACTGTCCTATGCAGTATAAGTTTGCTCCAGACCTTATTGCTCTTGATGCATATGAAACCGTGGAGTCATGGATGGCAACAAAGAATCTGAACCCAAGGAAACTGATTCCTGCAATGATGCGTTACTCAAGTGAACCACATGCAAAGTACTGCATATTTGTATTTGTATTTTCAATCAGTTAAATGTTTCTTCAATTTATTTATTTCTTTTCCTTTCATCTTTTGGTATTCGCCCTGTCTCATCTGACAGATTCATATATTTCAACTATTTCCACATGCAGGAATGAGACACATGAAGTCATTAAATATCTTGAATATTGTGTTCATAGATTGCATAATGAAGATCCTGGAGTTCATAACCTGCTACTTTCTTTATATGCAAAGCAGGTTGAGTGGCTTGCTTTATTCATCCCTGTACTTATGATGTAGGGATCATGAAGGGCGTTAATGAAAATATTTGTTCCTGCATGTGGAAAAATATTGTGTTCATAGATTGATAAATCATTCATGCTTGTGCAGTTTTCATAAGGAATTGGGAATATCTGGACAATTCACCCTATGCATCTTACATTTTTAAACTATGTAACATCAATTTACCGGTTTTATCACTTCTCATGTGCATAAACAAACCTACTCTTTACTGTGTATTGCCATTCATTAAAACTAAAATGACAGATCTGGACTGTATTGGCTAGCATATTTGAATCTTTTTTCCTTCTAAGATCAAATCAAATTGCCTGTTTTTCCACTCTTGTATGAAAATAAGATCATATTCTTTACAGTATAATGTCTTTACTGATTGGGATTGAAATTGTAAACGTAATTGAACAAGAGCCTTCTGGGAAATATTTTATTGAAATTCTAACATGTGCTTTTTTCTTTATAAAATAAAACATGGAGATATCAATTGAAGTTTTGAGTTTTGAAGTTGTCTTGTTTCTTGTAGCTGATGCATTTAATTTTGGTTTTTCTTGATTAGATTTTATGGAATTTACAACTTGGACATGTTTGATGTTGACAACTGTGCCTACTTATGAACTTGTTTCCTTATTTTGTCTACTCAGGAAGATGATAGTTCACTTCTACGTTTCCTACAATGCAAATTTGGTAAAGGACCAGAAAATGGTCCTGAGTTCTTCTATGATCCTAAGTATGCCTTACGACTTTGCCTCAAGGAAAAACGAATGCGTGCATGTGTTCATATATACAGTATGATGTCTATGCATGAAGAAGCAGTTGCTCTTGCCCTACAGGTGAGACTAATATGAATATATAATGATTGTGTGTTCCAACTTACCTCTATATTAATACAAAAATGATACTGCTCATAGTAGTCAATCCTGAATAGCGGCGCGGAGCGGCCAACCTCAAAAACATTATAGCGGGGATAGTGGTAGCAGGATGAGTGCTATTCTGAAGTTTTAATACACATGCTGAAAAATATAAAATTAATACACAAATTTGGACCAAAACAAGAAAGGAAAACTCAAATCAGAGAAGGAAATAAATAACAAATAGCGAAGGGTGTAGGAGCAGCCATTGCTTCTACTTGAAGCTTTGAAATTTGCAACAGAACAGAGTAGGAGAATCAAAACAGAGAAGGAAATAAAAAAACAGAAAAGAAAACAAGAAGACAAAAAAGATGTTCAGTCACTACAAAATGTGCAGGTTTGCTGAAGATGTAAAAGATGACTAAAAAGTGTCTGCGTGATGTCGGATGCTTCGCTGAACTTGAAGAAGACAACCAGAGATGAGAAAGATGACTCAAAACAATTTGGGTCATGTTGGAGACTTCACCATAGAACGTCTCAAAAGCCTCGTCGGAGATGAAGGCCACCAGAAGCAGCGGAAACGTAGAGACCAGAGATGAAATGAGGGGGAGACCTGAGAGATGAAATGAGAAGCTAGGGCTTGCAGAAGAGGGAGGGAGGGGGGGAAGAAATCAGAAAATAAGGGAGGGCGAAATCCCAAGACTGCCTCCCTTAAAAGTCGCCCAATGTTAAAAAATAGAGGACAAGTTTGGAACTTTAGAGAGGATAAAATAGCAGCTGTGGCCGCTATTTTCTGCCATTTTTGGCCGCTATTTGCAGCACGACAGCAGCTGCTCTAAACTGCAATGCTATTGGGTTTCCATAGCGGTGCTGCGCCGCTCCACTCTGCTCCACTGCGATAGCAGCCCGCTATTGACTACTATATACTGCTTAATTAAAAATACCTGCTTTGTGAATATTCTTCGTTGGTAATATTTTTCATTAGCAGTTACATGGTATGGAGATGCTGCAAGATCAACCAATTGTTACACATCCTCATTTTATTTTTCATGCTTTAGAAGTCTTAAGTTTAGAAATGATTCATTGATGAGGCCTAAAAGTGCCTTTCATTGAAGATACTTTTTCCCTTTTTCATCCCCTTCTCAATTATGGCTGGAGTAAGGTAGTGGCCTTGTAGTATATATAGTTATCCAGGAGCTAGGTTTTGAAAAAGAAGTTCAACATATCCACTTAGAAGTTCTTTTAATCTTTGTTGAAAGAGAGAAATGTGAGAGAACATTTGAATGAATTCGTGTCTCAATTGTACAACAGAACATAGATTTATATTGATGTAATAATTTTAGAATGTTTACTTAATTAATTAACTTAAATAATTACAAAGATAAACTTCCTTATTGTTAGAATTACATATATTAATGCTACTTCTCAAAATGAAGCATATATGTCATATGCACCGAGTTTGTTACATGTATACTTATACAAGAACCTCTCAAGTATTTGTTGAAGACATCTGTTATTTGATTATTTGAATTAACAAAGCTAGTGCTGATGTTTCTACATAAAATTTTCTCCCTGATAAAGTGACAATCTATCTCAATATGTTTGGTTCTTTCATGGAATAATGTATTTGAGGCAACATGCAAGGCTGCATGATTATCAGAAATGAGTGTCATTTTCATAATATTCTCAAATCTTAGTTTTTTAAGTAGTTTCAATCAAACAAGTTCATATGTAGTTGATGTCATAGCTCAATATTTTGCTTTAGCACTAGAACGGACACTACACTTTGTTTTTAACTTTTTAGGAAATCAAATTACTACCAATAAGAACGCAATATTTAGAAGTGGATCTCCTATTGGTAGGAGAGTCTGCTCAATCTGCATTAAAGTAACCCATAGTTTGAGTGTAACCCTTATCTTCACGCAAGAGTTCTTTTCTGGATCTCCTTTGATATATTTTAGAATGCGATATTGCAAATTATCGCATTCTAATGTCCTTCACAAGAGGAATTGAAATTGACTTACAACACTAATTACAAAAGAGATATTTAGACCAGTGATAGTGAGATAGTATAACTTTCTAACAAATCTCCTATATTTCTCTGGATTGCTTGTTACCCATTAAACTTGCTTCCTCTAAGATATCTGTTAAGATGTCCCACATTAGTTAGAAATAGAGTTAGAATACTCTTTATAAGGGATAAGGTAGTCCTGCTTCTATGAGCTAACTTCTATGAGCTAACTTGGTAGTGAGTTAGGTCCAAGTTTCTTAATATGGTATCAGAGCCTATTCAGTTTGAATGTTGGGCTGCCCACAAATGTCCAGTCCTGTTGGGTCCACCCATGCAGATGTCCAGTCCAACGTTGGACTGCTCACAGATGTCCAGTCCTGTTGGGTCTACCTATGCAGATGTCTAGTCCTGCAAATTTCATGCACCAGATGTTCAGTCCTAGGCATGAGGGGTGTGTGTTAATATGTCCCATATTAGTTAGAAATAGAGGCAGAATACTTCTTATAAGGGCTATGGCAGTCCTCCTCTTATGAGCTAGCTTTTGGGAGTGAGTTAGACCCAAGTTTCTTAACAATATTAAATGCAAACTTCCTCTAAGAAATCACAATGTCAAAGTTTGCTAATATCTTTTGTCTGAAAATAGTGACATGAATGATGCTTTGTTTGTGTAATGCCATGATGATCACTTCAAGTAATAACAATGTCTTTGACATAAACAATCAAATAAATGCATTTTGAAGCAGAATGACAGTAAAAAGTTGGATGATCACCTTCACTTCAAGTTATTCCAAATGCTTGTACCACAAAACTGAAGCGAACAAATCATGTTCTAAGATATTGATTTGAGGCCAAATTGGGATTTTTGCAGACGACAGATTAATTTTAGAAAAGACTCCTCTTAAGATAAATCTAGGAGGTTGCTCCATATATACTTCTTCCATGATATCACCATTGAGAAAGACACTCTTAATGTTGAGTTGATAAAGAGGTCAATGATGGATTGCAACCATTGATAAGAATAAATGGACAAAGGCCATTGTAGTCATTGGAAAAAAATGTTTCACCATAAGACAGTCAATATGGCCATTAGGGCCAAACTTGATAGTGTAAATCCATCTGCTTCCAATAATGAACTTCCCCGAAAGGAAATGAATGGGGTCTCAAGTACCACTAACACTACTCTGAATTGCATATATCTCATCAATCATGGCCTGTTGCCAACTGAGATGGGAAAGAACATCACGTACATTCTTAGGAATAAAAACAAAAGATAGAGGAAAGACAAGTATAATGAGGGACTAATGATGATATGTTAAAACAACATAACGAGGTGAAGAATTATGAGTGGAATGTATACTTTTTTGGAGAGCAATAGGAAGATCAAGCTTAGGAGGTAGGAGGCAAAGCTAGAAGAGGCAGAGGAGTTTGTACTGAAAGTAAGTCAGAACAAGTCTCATCACTAGGTGGTGGCAAACTGAATGTGTGGTTTTGTCTGTGGTTTACCTATAAAGGACACAGAGGAGGAATATTTGGAAGAAATGGTGCCTTTAGTGGTTGAAAATTAATAGAAACAAGAAAAAGAAATCAGAAAAGTGTGATAGGCTCAAACTCGGTGAATGAGAAGGAGAAAACTCAAAAACTGAAATTGACACAAAAAAGGTAACCTTAGCCGAAATAAGGTAACAATTAAGAGTAACAAAGTAACACTTATAACCTTTTTGAGATCGAGTGTAACCAGGGACACATTTGTGAGCACGAGCAGAGAACTTGTTAATCTGTGAACTAAGATTGTGAACAAAAAAAGTGGATCCAGAGAGACAGGGAAGGAGAAGATGTAAAGACTAACAAGGGAACAAGGCAAAGTGTGGTAAGATGGAAAAAGACATCTGATTAATAAAGTAATAGGTTATAAGAACATCACCCCAAATATAATGAGGAAAATTACCATGAAGAAGAATGCCATTGGTTTCAATGAGGTGCTATTTTTTCTTATAATAATTTCTTTTTGTTGAGAGGTATGAGCACAAAAAGTCTGATGAGAAATGTCATCGGAATCCATAAAATTTTGAAAAGTGAGACAAATATTCACAAGTATTATTATCACAATGCAAAGTGAAAATAGGAATACCAAATCGATTTTGAATTTCATGGTAAAAAGATTAAAATATAAAAAATAACTTTGATAAATTTTTCATTAAATATAACCAAGTGCAACCGGAATAATCATTAATAAAAGTAATAAAATATCTAAATCCTAAGGTAGACATAACACAAATTGGTCCCCCAACATAAAAATGAACCAAACTAAAAGGAGACGAAACTTGACCATTATCACGATTATGAAAGGAATTGTGGATATGCTTATCTAATAGACATGATTCACAAGACAAAATGGACAACCTGGAGAGATTAAGTACTATTTGTTGTAACTTTTGAAGACTATGATGACCTAACTAATCATGAATCAAGAGAGAAGAGTCCACTATTGAACCAACATGAGCAGAGTATAGTTGATAAAGTCCTTGTGATTCAAATATGATGGAAACTGAGATGCAAATATTATTGATTATCAACAAGAAAAGGTAACTACACATAACTAGAGCCAATGGCTCCTACAGAAATCCCAATAGCACTGGAATTCTGCTCTATTGCTCTCTCTAACAGAATGTAACAACTTCCCTTTCTCTCTCCTCTCCCCTTACTCTTATCATTCCCCTTCTAACTAACTCGTGGATTAAATTCCTTTTTTTATCCCATTGCTTTTTTTCTTTATCACATACACCCTCCACACTTTGGGCCCCTCAGCAGGATCCAATAACTGATCCCATTCCCTTAATTCGTCACTTGGGCCAACAGCTCCAACAAAATCCGATGCCAATCATTTTTCTTGAACTCTAGTCCTACAAAAAGTCATTTTTTGTAAAGGATATGACTCAATCTAAAGAATGAGTTAGACAAGTAATAGATTACAAATTAAAGGGAGAAAGAAACATGATCCTTTAAAAAATGTTTACATCTTCAATATTTTTGACAATCTTCAATATTTTTACATATTACTATTGAAATAAATAATCCTTTAAATATGTGAAGGGATTAATATCAAAATAATATGTTGAAGGGATTTTACTTTTCTTTTTCATTTTTCGAAAATGATTTTGTTAGGTAACTCTCGTCAGAAGTTAATTACAATATATTAGTTACCTATTAGTAGATACAATATCTCAGTTGGTTAGCCTGATTCCTGAATTAGTTAATTTGGCATGCTGCCTATAAATAAGAAGGGATGAGGGGGGGAAAGTCTTGTGAATTGAGAGAGGATTGGAGCCTCTGGGCATTGAGAGAGAACCAGGTCTCTAATGTTTTGTTTCATGGTCAAAAATATCACAAAAAACTGAACACTAAAGGAGCATGGTTGCATCTACCTTTTTGTGTTCAGGAGGGGCTAAGGCTATTTTCAGGTGACAATGGAGTGGGGTTTCAGACGTACTTCAAAAAATGGGACCCAAGTGGACTGTTTTTGTATATCTATCCCATTCACCTTGAGGATAAGGTGAAACTTAAGGAGGGGAGTATTGATAGATACCCATTAGTTAGTTAGTTTAGTTGGTTACAATCTGTAGTAAGTCAGTTTCTTACAATTAGTGAAAGGTATTACATGTATAAATAGAATAGAAGAGAGGAAAGGAGATCATCTTGTCATTTGTGAGAGTAAATTAGGGCCTTTTGGCATTGGGAGGTGCAGACCCTGTGAGTTCTGCAATGGATGTGTTTTGTTCTGTTAATTGTTGAATTCTTTCTCCATTCTTACTGATAAAGATACTGGGTTTCTACCAGATACTTTTGTGCTTACTCACATTTTTGTACTAGGTTGATCCAGAGCTTGCTATGGCTGAAGCTGATAAGGTTGAAGATGATGAGGATTTGAGAAAGAAGCTCTGGCTCATGATTGCTAAGCATGTTGTTGAACAAGAAAAAGGAACTAAGAGGGAAAACATAAGGAAGGCAATTGCATTTCTTAAAGAAACTGATGGCCTGCTAAAGATTGAGGATATATTACCATTCTTTCCAGATTTTGTCCTGATTGATGACTTCAAGGTACAATTAATTTTTCTCTGATTTTGCTATTGACTGACAATATTTAACTCTGATTAATTTATCTAATGATACTAGTACACTTGTTTTCTATTTTTATTTTCTGTTGACATTTTCATATAATATCTCAGCTTCCATTTTAATTATTAACAAGAATGTTGCACCTTAGATGATTGTTTTCTAAACTTCTATTGATGAATTTATCCGAATTTGTGATAGGAACCAGGATAAAGGGCCCAGGCCCAAGTAGACAAAATGTGTAAGTAAGTTGGTTATAATTGGAGGAGTGTGTGTAGCATGTTAGGGGGATATATCAGGAGAAAGTGGGGATATATGAGGGGGAGCGTTGTATTAGTTTGTGGTAAAGCTGTTTAGCTAGGCAGGGAATGCACAAAACATTACTCTGAAGGAGCCAAGAGCTTTGGGTTGGTTAGGGTTTATCTCTACTAGAATATTTGTTCTGTAATTCATATTTCAATCAATACAATTTCTTTTATTTCTTATATCATACATTTGAGGGTCCTGTCAATTGCTCCCACTCGCCGGATACAAAGGATGAATATCAGCGTATTCATTGAGTTCTCACTCAATGAGTTCTCTGAAGATTCATGATGGAATGAATGCCATTTTAGATTCCTTGAAGGAATTCTGACAAGATTGGAAGGAACTTCGGCAGGACTTAATGAATACTGAAGAAACATAGATAGATAGAGATTATGCTGAAAAAAAGGCTAAGGAAGGAGCTAAAGCAGAAAAGTCATTGCAACAAGGGCATTCCTCCAAACAAAAAAGGACTGGATGGAGGATTTTTTCCTGTCAGCAGTTTCAGGTTTGGAGGAAGAAGGGAAGGTGCCAAATGATGAAAACAACAGTTGTTTTGGGAAATTTGAATGTGGGTAACAAAAGACTAGCAGAGTCCAGTATGTCATGGGCAAGATGCTGGTTTGCACAGAGAACTCGAACATTTGTAAGAGGCTGGACAACTTGAGGCATGTAGAAGGATGCGGAGATGGAAGATCTTCAACCCTCGATGTAAATTTCAAAGGATGGAGGTGAGAACATTCTATTATTCATCTAGATGTGAAAAAGGGACGAAGAGGAACTGGAGGTGTTTCCTGGAAAGGTATTCAGACTCTTCTAGGCCCAAAGGTAATGGGTGTCTCTAGCCCAGTCAGCCCAAGTACGTATTTGCTTTTACGTTCTGTTTAACTCAGTCTCTCGTAATAACACTCGAGGGGTAATAAGCTATTCTTCTACAACAACTGCTCAAAATTGAAGGGTAATCCTCAGCAACATTGTACCTTTCCAATGTCTAGTCCCACTGTCAGATTAGGTTGTGAAGCTTCTAGGAGGGGGTATCAAGGTGCATGTGTAATAGTAGGGATGATAGTGCCTGGGTGGCCCTCTATGTATTGGAATTTTGGGGTTTATTCTGTGTATTTGGTCAATGAACAAGGACTCAAATATTTTCAATACAGAAGTTAACAACACTGAGTGGAATCAAAGGGGTATGCAGTAATGACTTTCAATATGTTGCAAGGGAATTATGCAAATGAAAAGTCAAAAATGATGGGACACAAACCCTTTATTGGCATGTGTCTGAGCAATATTTCTAAGAATAAAATCCTGTTTAGTTGTCCAAATACGGAACTATAAAATACTTACAAGTTGTAAGAGATTCACAACAAATGTGTAGAGGGGGTGCGTGTTTCAAGTATGGAACAAAAGAACAAATCACCCAAGAGGCAAGCAATGATAAATATATACTGAAGGGATCATATGTTACACTGATTACCAGATGGGTTGGTGTTGAAAAGAAAAGGGAAGCTCAGAGGGTATATAATGCACAATCCCAAGCTTCTATTGCCAATTGTAATACACTGATCCTTGATATCAACCTGCAAGGTTTGGATGGGATTCAAGGCCTTGTGTGTATGCATACAAGTTGTGTCTCCATTGCATTATGCAGTTATGAATCTCTAGGTAAACTCAAGCATCATAAACCTGGGTTGCTGAATTCATTATTTGGTGTTAATCAAAAGAAAGGTTCAAAATTTGGTAAGAAGGCCTCTGATTATAAACAATTTGGAAAAATTAGTGACCTTGCAGTACCAATTTTCAACCCAGAGGACATAAAAGGGACAAAAGTGATTGGGTTTGATGAGAAGACAGTATAGGAAAGTATATTTGCTGAATGTGTTATGTGCCTAATGCAGCCCACACAATATTAAATTTATACTAACTTATAGAATTAAATACATTTAATTTCTACCTAATAATCAGGAATCAATTATCCTAATTTCCTAAAATATGTAATTGTTAATTTTCTATGCACCAAGCTTGTTACAAATGTACTCAATTGGAGGGCCTCTAAGGGACTTGGTAAACATGTCAGCCAGCTGATTGCTAGAATTGACAAAATCAGTAGTGATTTCTCCATAGAGGACCTTTTCTCTCACAAAGTGACAATCAATCTCTATGTTTGATTCTTTCATGGAAGATCGGGTTTGATGCAATGCGAAGTGCAGCTTGATTGTCACAAATAAGTTTTGTTTCATGGATGTCCCCTTTTTTAGTTGTAGTAGTAGTTGCCTAAGCCATGTAAGCTCACAAGTGGCTGCTGCCATAGCATGATATTCTGCTTCTGCACTGGATCTGGCAACTATGTTTTGCTTGCTTCTCCGTGAGATCAAGTTTCCTCCGATTAGAACACAATACCCAAAAGTGGATCTTTTATATGTTGGTGATCTTGCCCAATTCACATCAGAATAACAAGTGAGCTTAGTATTGCTTTTGTCTTCATACAATAACCATCTCAGAGCATTTTTTATGTATCGAAGAATACGTGTTACAATCATCCTAATTTCCTAGAATATGTAATTGTTAATTTCCTACAAATCTGTAACGGCTAATGACTTAATTACATTCTAACAGTCACTAAGTACCACATGTAATCCTTGAGAAGATGGTCAGTCACCCTAGAGTTTCTGTTGCCTCTACACTTGAGGAGAATGGTGATTCTCCTCAGTCTACTATACCTGAAACTCTATTGATGAAGAAGATAGGACAGGTCTACAATTCTTCTAACTAGGTATTTCTCCATCTTGTATGATCATAGTGGAAGGTTAAAATGGTTCGGAAGGGTTGCATTGGTTAACAATGGTGCAGTCGAGATGGTAGGCCTTTATTTCAGCCTTGAGGACAAGGCTGCACAGTTCTAGAGGGCAGTAATGATAGGAACCGGGATAAAGGGCCCAGGCCCAAGTAGACAAAATGTGTAAGTTGGTTAAAATTGGAGGAGTGTTGATAGCATGTGAGGGAATATATAAGGAGATAGTGGGGATACATGAGGGGGAGCATTGCATTAGTTTGTTGTAAAGCTGTTTAGCTAGGCAGAGAATGCACAAAGCATTACTCTAAAGGAGCCAAGGGCTATGGGCTGGTTAGGGTTTATCTCTACTAGAATATTTGTTCTGTACACATTTCAATCAATACAATTTCTTCTATTTCTTATAATTTTGAGGGTCCTATCAATTTGTGCAGGAGGCTATCTGCTCGTCATTGGAGGATTACAATAAGCAAATTGAACAGCTGAAGGAAGAGATGAATGATGCAACTCGTGGTGCTGACAACATCAGGAATGATATCAGTGCACTTGCTCAAAGATGCACTGTTATTGATCGAGATGAGGATTGTGGGGTATTGATCTTTCTCAGACAACTGCAGCTACTGCTTTTAAGTTGTGCAGTTTACTTTTGTACTAGTGTACCATAATTAAGATCAATCTTCCTTTAAATTTCTGATTTAATTTTCTGAATTTATGCTCTCATTTGAAATGATTTTTAATCTGACACCCTAGGTTTGTCGGAGGAAAATTTTAACCGCTGGCAGGGAGTTCGGCATGGGTCATGGTTATACATCAGTTGGACAAATGGCTTCATTTTATGTCTTTCCATGTGGACATGCGTTCCATGCACAATGCCTGATTGCCCATGTGACTCGTTGTACAGTTGAGGCTCAGGTAAGTGTACTACCTTTTTCTTATATTTTTGACATCTCATTGTGACTATTTTATCTTATGCTACCTGAGTTTATTTATTATTTTCAGCAATATCCACATTATAATCAAAACCAATAAGCTTTATTCAAAATAAGGAGACCAGTGACCTGTGCATTGTTTCAGATGAGTTGAACACAAGTATTGAAAGGATACAAAGATCAAATCTCTAACTTTGTTAATTGTTGCATAAATGATATCCTAACTTTGTTAATTGTTGCATTAAGTTCATTAAAATGACACAATGCACTGCAACTGGGCATGGAAATGCTTTTTGACCCTCAAATTTGGGTTGACCATGCTGGTTTAACATATGGAAATAAGTCAATCACAACATGAGCTGTTTAGCAGCTTCGGTTTGTTAGATAATAGAGGGCTAGCTGTGGCATTTAGTGTTGGGGCTGTTGGCCCAAGTGACAAATTAAGGGAAGGGGATCAATTATTGGATCCTGTTGAGGGGCCCAAAGTGTGGAGGGTGTATGTGAGGAAGAAAAAGAGCAATAGGGCAAAAAAGGAATTGAATGCATGAGTTAGTTAGAAGGGGCATGATAAGAGTAAGAGGCGAGGTTTGTGGGGAAAAAAGGTTAAGTTGTTACATTTTGTAAGAGGGTGCAGTAGGGCAGAATTCCTGTATCAATTGGAGATTTTTGAGGAGCCATAGGCTCCAGTTATGTGTAGTCACCTTTTTCTTGTTGATATTCAATAATATTTGCATCTCAATTTCCATCAATTGGTCTGACCTGCCAGATACATCACAATGTCACTGAAACCAACTGATCAGAGTGATGCTTTGGAGGGGTGAGTAACTTAGTTTGAAGCCTTGGGACCATGTTTGGAGGGCATGGAGAGTTCTTTAAGTGAGTTTTGTGCTGCTCTCTTAAGAGATTCAGCAGTCACAACACGAGATGCAACATTCATTCTGGGAATATCATAAGGATGTGCACCAATCCCTTCACAGAGATGAGGGGCATAACAATAGTTGTGGAGCAGAGGGAGACTAGATGAATGATAAGTCATTTGACAAACCACCAAACAACGGAGTACACGATTATCACCTTACAGCAAAACGAGTGGAGTTACGGGGATTCCAAGGGATTGACCCCATGGGATGGATTCAACGTGCAGAAACCTACTTTGAGGTACATGATATGCCTGACGAGTTGAAGCTGAAACTCTCATGGTTGTGCATGGAAGGAAGTACCATTCATTGGTCTACGTTATTATGAGAATCAGAAGGGCAACTAAACATGGGCGATGTTAAAACAATCTTTGTTGTTGCGCTATGGGGGAACTATCTATGACAATCCTTTTGAACAATTGTCAGTGATTTATCAATTAAGTGCAGTAGATGACTACATTAAGTTGTTCGGAAACGTTTCGGCACAGGTTCCTCGCTTATTGGAACCCCAATATCTTGGATATTTCATGGCTGGACTAAGACCCTATATTCGACAAAGGGTCCGTTCTTTTCACCCTATCAATCGATGGAAGGCGATGCAGATTGCACAAGACATGGAATGGGAAATTGATGGCTTGGTAATAAGCAATGATGTTGCATCATTTCGGATTCGTTCTAGTTACATAAGCCAAATTGGAAAATCATACAGGTCACACTTTACCTAAAAGGAGAAAGGTCAAAATCTGATGGACTCTACTAAGCCCAATAATAGTTGGGCCCAATTTGGATTAGGTTCGTCCCACCAAAAGTCAGCATATGTGAAGGGCTCGTCTACAACATTGAACTCAGCTCCGCACAAATGGGACAATGATCATCGTGGTTCTAAGAATTCCAGGGGTGTGCATCACTTGTTTATCAAGAATTGATGGACTCAAAGGTGAAAGGGGTGTGTTTTCGTTGTGGAAAGAAGTTTCATCCTTTGCATCAGTGCCCTGAAAAAAGCTTAAAGCTAGTAAAAAATGGGAGATGGGGACAACGAGGGAGAAGCAGAAGAAATCATAGTAGTCAATCTCAGTTAGTGGTGCAGAGTGGCTGACCTAAAACACGCGATAGCAGCATAGTGGATAGCGGGCAAATCATAGTAGTCAATCTCAATTAGCGGTGCAGAGTGGCTGACCTAAAACACGCGATAGCAGCATAGTGGATAGCGGGATGCCCGCTATCCTAAAGTTCTAAGTATTATACCTAATATAAAATTAATATCCAAAACAAAGAGAAATAAAAAACAGAGAAGGAAATAAAAACAGAGAAGGAAATAAGAAAAGAGAGAAATGGTCAATCACTAGAAATGTTTGGATCACGTCGAAAGTTCGTCGGATGTTTTATCAAAGATGAAGAAGATGACTGTAAATGTTTGGATCATGTTGGAAACTTCGCCTGAGTTGAAGAAGACAACCGGAGATGAAGGCGACTGGAAACATCTAAGTCACGTCAGAAACTTCGCTAGAAATGAAGAAGATGAAGACACTTCAGAAACCTTGTTGGAGATGGAGGACACTGGAAGCAAGAAAATGTCGTAGAGAACAAAGATGGGGAAGAATAAACCACAGGGAACTGAGAAGAGAATTGAGAGATGAAAATGAAAACTTAGGGCTCGATAGGAAGAAGATATCAGAAATGTAAAAGGGGGCAAAATACCAATATTACCCCTATTTAAAGATGTCCAACGTTAAGAAAAGAAGGGCAAAGTCAGGTTTTGGCCAGAGATGAAATAGCGGCCGCTATGGCTGCAATGCTCCCGCAAATTGGCTGCTATTCGCGGTGCGATGGTTGCTCCATTGAAATGCAACGCTATAAGCTCCCTATAGCGGCAACTTGCTGCTCTGCTCTGCTCCTCCGCGATAGCGGTCACTATGGCTGCTATTGACTACTATGGAAGAAATATTGACGTTAGAAATAGAGCACGACACAGAAGGTGAGGGGTTAGAGTGTAAACTCATGGGCCTCATGGGAGTGACCAGTTTTGAATTGTCAACGTATAAAACTCATTCTAATTCTGGTTGATAGTGGGGCAAGTCAAAATTTTGTGGCATCAGAGGTAGCACATTCACCAAAATTTTCTTATAGACCCTACAAAACTATTTGGGGTGGGGTTGGGGGATGGTCATAGGGTCTACACTAAGGGCAAAAGCTCTAGTTTACCCTTGCAATTCAAAGATATAGATGTGGTTGTGGATGCTTATATTCTGGACTTAGGAGGGGTGGATATGATCTTGGGGGTAGCATGGTTGGAAACACTAGGTAAGGTGGAAAAGGATTGGGGAAATATGACTATGTGCTTCAAGTTAGGAAAAGAGATGCTGGAGTTGGTAGGTGGTGTTGTGCTAGGTTCAAGATGCACTTATGGTGGTAATCCCAACCTTAATGACTCTTCTCTTTGTGCTTTGGAAGGCTCAAAACAGATGCAAGGAGGGTTATACTGTTGAACTCAGAAGAGGGGCTTAATGGAAAAAAACAAGGAGTGCTGAATTCACAACAGCAAGTGGATATAGAAGGAGTGCTGCAAGAGTCACCAGAAGTTATTAATGAACTTTCTAGGCTACCCCTTTGTCGAGGAATAGCCCATTCCATCAATCTGAAGGAAGGTGAAGGAAGGCAAAGAACTGATAAATGTTAGTACATATCGCTATTCACATCATTGAAAAAATGAAATTGAGCATCAAGTTCACGAAATGTTGCAGCAAGGTATAATTCGTCATAATTTTAGTCCTTTTTCTAGTTGAGTAATTCTTGTTAAAAAAAGGATGCTACATGGAGGATGTGTGTGGACTATAGGGCTCTTAATAAGGCAACAGTGCGGGACAAATTTCCTATTCCAGTTGTTGATGAGTTGATTGATGAATTACATGGGCAAGCTTCTTTTCAAAGTTGGATCTGAAATTTGGGTACCATCAGATAAGAATGAGGGAGGAAGATGCGTCCAAGACAGCATTTAAAACCCATGAAGGTCATTATGAATACCTCGTAATGCCCTTTGGGTTAATGAATGGCTCAGCTACCTTTCAAGCAACAATGAACCAGATATTCAAGCCATTTTTATACAGATTCTTGCTTGTATTTTTTGATGATATATTGGTGTATATAGCAAGGATTGGAAGATTCACCTACAGTACCTCTCCATTGTCCTCTAGGTGCTCAAAGAAAATCAGTTTGTTGCAAATAAAATGAAATGTAGCTTAAGGAGAACTCAAGTAGAGTATTTGGGCCACATTTTGTCAAACAAAGGGGTGTCTGTGGATCCAGCTAAGGTACAAAGTGTTCTAAATTGGCCAAAGCTGAAATGTGAACGGTGTTATAGGTTTTTTAGGATTAACGATTTACTATCGAATGTTCATCCAGGGGTATGGGCAGTTAGCCAAACCCTTAACAAGATTGACAAAAAAGGAAGCTTTTAATTGGGGACCAGCAGCTCAACAAGCATTTGAAATCTTAAAGAAGGCAATTACAACTGCTCTGATGTTTTCCTTATCTGACTTTTCACAGCTCTTTGCCTTGCAATGTGATGCCTCAAGCCCGGGCTTGGGCACTGTCTTAATGCAAATGGTTAACCCTTGGCTTATTTTAGCAAGTCACTCTCTACCAATTACCTCTCAAAATCAATTTATGAGAAAGAGCTCATGGCAGTAGCACTATCAATTCTGCATTGGCACCATTACTTATAGGGAAGGAAGTTTATTGTATATTCAGATCAGAAAAATCATAAGGACTTATTGCAGCAACAAGTGATTTTTGCAATTCACCAAAATTGGTTGGCCAAATTACTTGGCTTCCAATTTTAGGTGATTTATAAACCGCGGCCTGAAAACAAAGCTGTTGACACACTTTCTCGTTTGTCAATAGAAGGATGATTGGCTAGTTTAATTTCTTTCCCAATTTGGCAACAAAGCACAGAACTTAAAAAAGAGGTGGATATGGATCCTAAGCTACAACACATCATTTCTGATCTCACCAAGGATGCAAATAGTTGGCCTGGTTTTTCTTCTCACAAAGGGTGCTTTTCTTCAAAAATAGATTGGTCATTTCTGCATAGTCTGCTCTTATTCCTACTTTATTACAGGAGTTCATGCTATAGCTATTTGGGGGTATTTCGATTATCACTGAACGTATTGTAGGTTAGTTGGCAATCTTTATTGGTTGGGAGTGAAGAAATCTGTCATGGAATTCGTAAGATATTGTGATGTGTGCCAAAAAATGAAGTATGTTGCTACCTTTCCAATTGGATTATTGCAGCCCTTATCAATTCTGAATCAAGTGTGGGAGGAGATATCAATGGATTTCATTACAGGGCTTCCTCGATCTGAAGGAAATGATGCCATTTTGGTGGTAGTTGATAGACTTTTTTAGTATGCCACTTTATCTTACTTAAGCGTCCATATTCGGCGCAAATTATTGTAGCATTGATTGTGAAGGAAAGTGTTAGACTACATGGGTTTCCTTTGTCCATTCTTAGTGACAAGGGTCCTATTTTTGTTAGTATGTTTTGGCGAGAGCTTTTTAAATTACAAGGTACATCTCTCACAATGAGCACAGCCTATCACCCTGAAATTGATGGCCAAACAAAAACAAAAGTGATCAATTGCTGTTTGGAATCTTATCTACAGTGCTTTGCTTCTGAACAACCCCGAAATTGGTCTTTGTAGATGCCTTGGGCAGAATTGTGGTATAATACCACGTTCCATGTAACTACTTGTTTCACTCCTTTTGAGATAGTGTATGGGTGTAAGCCTCCATTAGGGGTGAGGTACTTAGATGGAGAAACTAAAGTAAAGGTTGCGGCAAGAGATTTTAAAGATAGAGATGAGGCTTTGAAGCAGTTGAAAATCAATCTCAATAAAGCACAAGAACAAATAAAATGTTATGCAGAAAAACGTCGAAGAGATGTAACTTTTGCTATTGGTGATTGGGTTATTGATAAGGTAAGGATTCTGAAATTTAAATTATGTATTGAATTGGCTCAGTTGAGCAGAAATTACAGCAATGGAGAGTGAGCTCTCAAGTGGCTCAACACCCTAAGTTTGAAATAATTTTCCTGATGCCCATTCCCCTTTGTAATCCCCTTATTTAAGTTGTTATGTTTCCTAAAATCATGCTCCTAGCTACTGTAACAGAAAATAACAAAAGGTAATAGAAAACAATAACAAAAGGAAATCCTAAAACAGAAAATAACAGAAGGTAACAGAAAACAATAACAAAAGGAAATCCTAAACTACTCAAAACAGAACATAACAACTTATTTCCTAATTCCTCTCCTATAGTTTTGCCGCTTGTAAACTTTCAAGCACTCAGGAAACTTGTCTCTAACAATATCCCTTCCTGAACAATCACCTTGTACTCAAGGTGGAAATTTTGTTGATGTACAATTGATTTTGCCTTAATAGCTCCAGCACATTCCTTACTTGCTTCAAATGTTCGTCCTCTGTTTGGCTGTAGATCAAAATGTCATAAAAAAAGACTAAGGTAAATCTTCTTAAGATGGGTCGGAGCACCTGATTCATGAGCGATTGAAATGTGGAAGAAGCATTGTTTAACCCAAAAGGCATTACCAAAAATTCATAATGTCTCTCGTGTGTTTGAAATGCTGTTTCTCCGATGTCATCTTCCCGCATCCTAATCTGGTGGTACCCAGATTTTAGGTCCAGCTTAGTAAACACCGGTGCTCCGGCCAGTTCATCCAACAGTTCCTCAATGACTGGAATGGGAAACTTGTCTGGTCTGGTGATTTTGTTCAGGGCTCGGTAGTCAACGCAGAACCTCCATCCTCCATCCTTCTTCTTCCCAGCAATACTGGCCTTGAATATGGGCTAATACTGGGCTTGATGATGCCAGCTTCTAGCATCTCATCCACTAATTTGTCAATCTCATTCTTCTGCGAGTGAGGATAACGGTAGGGCCTGATATGTGGTATGACTGCTCCTTCCTTAAGGATTATAGCATGGTCGCATGTCCTCACAGGGGGTAGCCCCTTTTGTATTGTGCCGATATCTTCAAACTCTTCCTGTAACTTGCGCATGACGTCTAGTATCTCCGATGGAGCCTCCACCTCTGGTCCTACTGCAGTCACCAAAATTCCCCCGCCTTCCTCCTTTAATGCTTTTAAAGTTGTTTTGAGTGTGGCACATTTTCTGCCTAAGGATGCGTCCCCTCGTATCATCCGACTTTCAGCTCCCTTTTGCCATTTAATGTACAGCTGATAGAAATTTGCTGTAATCGTTCCCAAGCGTTGCAGCCACTCCATGCCCAGTACTATATCCACACTACCCAACTTGATGAGATAGAATGTTTGTACAATTGCCACCCCTTGTACATCAAGTCTGACTCCCTCGCACACCTTTTTGCTTTGGAGCTGTGTCCCTGTTCCGAGTTCCACCCCATAGGGGAGGGTCTCAGTTACCTTCATCTTAAGTCTCCACTAGTGTCGTGTGTAGGAAGTTGCCTTCTGGCCCACAATCCACCAGGATCATGACGTCCTGTCCTCGGAGAGTTCCTTTCACCATGAAGGATTTTTTTGTTGGTGAAGCCCTTCAGGCTTTGCAGGGAAATTTTCAGCACACGAAGACCGGTCTCTAGAGAGGGTCCCTCTTCTTCCCCCGAGGCCTAGCCTCGCCCTTCCTCTACTTCCTCTCCTTCGTTTCCTTCGACTAGTTCAAGCCGGAAGTGCCAGAACTTGCAGATGTGCTCCTTGTTCCATGGGTCCCCTCACTTAAAGCATAACCCTCTGCAACTTCATTCTTGAATCTCTGCTTGGGACAGTCGGGGTCGTGTTTGATTCGGCTAGGATGGATCTCTCTTGGGTTGGAAGTCCTTAATTGTTGTTTTATTGGGCCCTGTTATCACTTGCGAGGAGAAAGTGTTATTGGACTTAGTAGTGTGCAAATGAGGTGTATTATTGGGCTTATTGTTCACAGCCCCTTGGGCCCAAGCCAAAACGTGGTTTCTCTTCCAAGCCTGATTTCTTTCTTCCAACAAAATAGCTTTATCCTTCATCTCCATTAACGAGTTAAGTTCTAGGCTCCTCAATTCTGCGCCGATTTCTTCCTTTAAACCATTTAGGAAAACCCCAATCTGCACCTCCGTGTCAAGGTGCTTCAGGGGCCGTGAGAGTTTCTCGAAGTCTTCAATGAAGTCGCGCACAGTCCCTGTTTGCTGAAGCCGAAATAATGCGCCGAAAGGGTCCTTACTTGCGCCTGGTTGGTAGCAACCCAGCAAGGCGTTTTTGAACTGGCGCCATGAGGGAGCTAGTGCCTGCTTTTCCCAAGCATAGAACCAATTCAGCGCCGCTCCCTCTAGGGCGAGGAGCACCACCTCCAGCTATTCGTCTCCCTCAATCCGTTGAAGGGTAAAATATCTTTCAATTTTCACCAACCAACTGACGGGGTCTTCGTCGAAAAGGATAGGGAGTTCTATTCTCCGATCGTGGTCCGCTAGAGGTGAGTGATCTCGGCATCGATCTCGAAACGGGGAGTGGTAGCGTCGACGCCTGGATGTGTCCCCGTAGTAAGCGTGGTCACAAGGAGTCACCGAAGGTTGCCTCTTTTCGTGCTCCGGTGAGGCGAATGCCTCTGATCTAGAGGTGGGTTTCCACCATCCCGCACAGCGGCGGTTAGGGGTTCTCGGTGGTGACCTGTCGGATCGGCGTGATCGGCCCCAGACTGCCATTCCCTGCATCAGTTCTTCCAGTGTCTTCTCCACACGTTCTAAACATTCAGAGTCCATCGTTTCAAGAGGAAATCCAAGCACCAGGAAAGTGCTTTGATACCAATTGATAAGGTAAGGATTTTGAAATTTAAATTATGTATTGAATTGGCTCAGTTGAGCAGAAATTACAGCAATGGAAAGTGAGCTCTCAAGTGGCTTAACACCCTAAGTCTGAAATAATTTTCCCAATGCCCATTCCCCTTTGTAATCCCCTTATTTAAGCTGTTATGTTTCCTAAAATCATGCTCCTAGCTATTGTAACAGAAAATAACTAAAGGTAACGGAAAAAAATAACAAAAGGAAATCCTAAACCACTCAAAACAGAACAGAACTTATTTCCTAATTCCTCTCTTATAGTTTTGCCGCTTGTAAACTTTCAAGCCTTCAGGAAACTTGTCTATAACAGTTTTCCTTAAACTGCATCCACATAAGCAGTCTTCTATGTCTCAACGAATTTAATCGAAACTGTCCCCACAATATTTTGGGCCTTTTCAGATCTTGGAAAAAATTGGAACAATGGCATACAAGCTTCGATTACCTCCCACTTCTAGAGTTCATCCAGTATTCCATGTACGACTGCTCAAAAAGGCTGTTGGTTAGTATTCAGCTACTCCTGGTTTGCCAAAGGAAATGACAATAGATAGTGTGACAGAACCTGAAAAGGTTTGGGTGGTACAAGACAAAATGGAGGCGAGTAACCTATTCAAGGAGTATCTAATTCAATGGAGGGGACTTGCAGCTGAAGAGTCTAGTTGGAAGAAAGAATTTTTTATGAAGAGTCAATTTTCTCATTTCAGCCTTTGAGGACCAAATTACTGTTTCAGCAGGAGGTATTGTTGGGACTGTTGGCCCAAGTGATGAATTAAGGGAAGGGGATCGGTTATTAGATCTTGCTGAGAGGCCCAAGTGTGGAGGGTGTATGTGAGAAAGAAAAAGAGCAATAATGCATGAGTTAGTTGGAAGGGGCATGATAAGAGTAAGAGGCGAGAATTGTGGGGAGATGTAGAATTAAGAGAGAGAGATAGATTAATGTGCTGGAATTAGATAGATACTCTACAATGTGTAAAAACCCTTATATTTATAAGGATACATATGTAACCCCAGTGGGCTAAGCCCGTTATTGTAATACTATCATAAATCTTAATCCTAATAAGTCCATTATAGCTATTCATAACACTCCCCTTCAAGCTGAAGAATAGCTATTAATCATGCCTAACTTGTTACAAATACAATTGTTACATGTACCATTTAAAGCCTTTGTAAACACATTTGCTAGTTGGTCGCGTGTCCTAACATGAGAGATGGATATAAGCTTTTGCTGAACTTTTTCTTGAATAAAGTGACAATCTATCTCAATATGTTTCGTTCGTGCATGAAAAATTGGATTTGAGGCAATGTATATCGCTGCCTGGTTATCACACCAAAGTTGTAAAGGCGTAGTCTTAGTGCTGCCAAATCCTATCTCTCCTAACATATGTTTCAACCACATTAACTTACAGGTAGTCTGAGCCATCAGCCTTCACCCTGTATTTTGATTCCACACTCGATTTTAATATAATGTTCTGCTTCTTACTTTTTCACGAAATTAAATTACCTCCCAAGAGCACACAATATCTAATAGTAGATTTTCTGTCCATAGATCCTGCCCAATCAGCATCAGAAAATGCCTCTATCTGTGCATGTCCATGATCTTTGTACACATTTTCCTGGTGCTTTCTTCAAATACTTCACAATGCAGATTAGTACTTCCCTATGAGTATCCGTTGGAGATGACATAAATTGGCTAACAACACTCACTGGAAAAGCAATATCCTGCCTTGTAATAGTCAAGTAATTTAGCTTGCCTGCTAATCTCCTGTATTTCTTTGGATCTGCAGAAAGAACTCCATCTGCTGTCAGTTTCACTCCTAGTTCTATAGGTTTCTTACATGGTTTAGCTCTTTTTAGTCTAGTTTCAGTCAATAAGTCTAAGACATATTTTCTGTGAAAGGAAGATTCCTTACTTGGAGTACATGACTTCAATACTCAAGAAGTATTTCAGAATTCTTAAGTCTCTTGTCTAAAACTTGGTTTGAAGAAATTTCCTTAGGTTGCTGATTCCTTCTTCGTCGCTACCTGTAATAACAATATCATCAACATAAACAAGTAAAATACAACCAAGGTTAGTCTGTTTGTAAAACACTGTATGGTGACTCTCACCTCACTAATCCAAATTCTAGAATCACATCATTGAATCTCCCAAAACATGCTCTAGGTGACTATTTCAAGCCATATAACGACACACTCTTCCACACTCTCCCTGAGCTACAAAGCCAGGTGGTTGCTCTATGTACACCACTTCCTATAAGTCTTTATGTAAGAATGCATTCTTGACATCTAACTGGAATAATGGCCAATGATGCATAGTCGCAAGAGAGATAAAGATGCGAACAGATAAGAGTTTAGTAACTGGAGAAAACATATCAGTGTAGTCAGCGCCATAAATTTGGTGATACCCTTTAGAACAAGTTGTGCCTTTAGACGAGCCATAGAATCATCCGGATTAACTTTCACAATATAAACCCACTTGCATAGCATGTTGCCAACCATCATGACTAAGGGCATCTGCAAGGTTCTTAGAAACAGAAAGAGAGTCTTTACCAGCCATGAAGGATTTAGACATAGAGGATATATGAGCAGACGTCACATAAGATGAAATAGAATAGGTGCAAGATCTCTTACCTTTACGGATAGCAATAGGAAGGTCAAGGTCAGATATAGGATCTGTTAACACTTGAGGAGATAATGGTAGAGGTTGAGTACCATCTTGAATGTCACTAGGCACGGGGGTGCATCATCTGAAGGCTGTTAAGGCCAGCGAAAGTATGTTCACTCAAAGAACTTTAAACCTGTATCAATAGGAGCTAGAGATGCAACATAATGTGTAGATTGGTCAATAGTGTAAGTCAAGAAAGATTCATCTACCTCATACATGGACTTAGAATATGAGGACTTAAAGAATGAAAGACTTTAAAAAAAAAACACATAAGAGGTCATAAGATAACGACCAAGATCAGAAGAAAAATAACGTAAACCTTTTTGTGACCAAGAATAACCCCAAAACACACATTTTAGGGACTTTGGATCAAGTTTAGTTACATGAAGATGAACATCAAACACAAAACAAGTGCAGCTAGAAACTTTAAAAGGTAAAGAAAAAAGAGATTGTGATGGGAAAAGTATAGAGTGGGGAATCTCATCATGTAACAGATGATGGCATGCGATTAATTAAATATGCAGTAGTAAAAACAGCACCAGCTCAAAAAAGTTTAGGAACTTTCACTTCAAACATTAGAGCATGAGCTACCTCCATAAGATGATGATTTTTACCTTCAGCTATCCTCATTTTGTTGTGGGGTAACAATACAAGAGGACTGATTAAGTATGCTATGTTTACTCATAAAACTAGGGAAGGATACAGAAAAATATTGTTTAGCATTATCACTTCTAAGAGTGCGTACACAAGTATTAAATTGAATTTTAATTTCAGCACAGAAATTACAAAATATAGAAAAGACTTCAGATCTGGATTTTATCAAAAACAACCATGTTACACGAGAATAATCATCCACAAAGGTGATAAAATATTTTACCAGATTTAGAAGTAACTAGACAAGAACTCCAAACATTAGAATGAACAATTTCAAAGGGGGCATGAGCCCTTTTATTTAAATGAGATAAATAAACATTACGATGATGTTTACCAAACTGACATGACTCACAATAAAAATTAGACTTATACTAGGACATAATTTCCTAAGAACTTCTAAATTTGGCTGCTCCAGAGTGTCTATTATGGTCCCAAAGTAAGCACGCGCAACACTTCTTCAAAATGGGTCTCTGTAGTTGTTGCTATGGGTTCATAGTGATCACTTTAGTCTGCCCTTCTGGACTTAGCTTGCTGTAGTGTTCACTATAAGATCTAAAGTGATCACTTTCATCTCAAACTTTCTCAAATGCTAAAAATCCATGGAAAAAGTCTAGAAATTTCTGCACAATTATTCAAATTATCAAAATTGCAAACTATATCTATGTAAATCAATGTAAATTAACCAAAAATTAAGAAACCTATGATATTTGACCAAAATGTTGTTTTTATGTTATTTACACTTTCTAAGTTTACTTTTTCTATTAAGAAACATCAAAATGACAAGTAAAAATCCAATAAAATGCGGATTCATCAATTCTGCTCATAACAGCTCTATATAAGTGAGGAGTCCTCACTATTGTAGTTTAAGTCTTTCATTTTGTTCAAAATTCAATAATAGAAATTTCTCTTCATGCTTTCTCTGAGTTTTCAATCTCAGTCTCAAACCTTCAATTTCAATTTTATAATAAATTTAGAGGGATGGGTTTAGGGAGCGAGAGAGAGAGAACAGAATCTTTTAGAAAGGATTTAGTGAATAAAAATGCTTTCTAATCCAAGAGAAATGTAGTACATGGGATCTGCATATCATCCATATGTAGTCTCTTAAAAGACTTAGTGGAGACAATTTGCAGGCTAATGTTGAGTGCAAAACTCCGTACCCATGAATACTAAATGCATTTGATCATGAGATGCAACATATTATTTCCTAAGTGCATTAATTAAAAATATTTCCAAATTCCAAGAAGCTTCTAAGAATGAAACTGTCTCGACGAATGTAGTTGGTAATTGTTGTACTTAACCTTTGGATATGAATGTTATACATGCTGCCAATTTGTTACTACATGTGGTCATAAATTGGCGTCGTTAATTTTGTATCTTAAAAAAGCTGTGTTTGTTCATTCACCTTTGTCACTGCCCAAAATGAATCAGTTCAAAAGGTCAGCTGCTACATCAGTTGGCTCATGGGCCAAAGGGTTGGAAAGTTTGCACTGGGAAGAAATAAGGGGAGGAATAGGCAGAATGTTTGAGTTGGCAGAGAGAGGACAGCAAGGGGGTTGTTACTGATTTGTGGTTAATGGTTAGCATATTGGTGGGTGTGTGGGGTAATAGGGGGAGCATGGAAAATATTGTGTCATGAAAGCAATAGCTCTCAGTAGGAGGTTGGCTCTGTGGCAGTACAAAAGTTCTTCCACTGCATTACCTTTATTGCTTTTCAGACTTAATACATACTCATTTTTGCCTGCTGAGTTAATTTCTGTTGGGTGTGGTTCTGGTTTGTATCAACCTATTCTTAACTATAGCTATAATTGTCATAATCCATTTTGCTTGCCGTCAAAATGTTGTCGCCACCTCAAAGCAGCATAGTCTTATTATCGCCCATGCCATCATTAAATTTAATCTGTAGGAAATATGTTGCAGGCTGAGTATATCCTGGATCTGCAGAAGCAACTTACTTTGATGGGCAGTGAAGCGAGGAGAGAATCTAATGGTACCCTTTCTTCAGAGGAGTCCATTCCTAGCATGACCACTGTAGATAAGGTTTGTTCAGAACCTTCTTTCATGCATCAGGTGACTTGTATCACTCATCAACGTTGCAGCTGAGTTGCTCAATATTACATTTTTGCTTGCATTGATATTTAAGCTTCAAATTCCTTTTCTTATTCTATCAGTAACTATTTCCATGGGATATGACTGTTGACCAATTTGATTTTTAAAAACTCACTTTCGTTTGCATTGAGCATGTAAAGAATTGCTCTATAAGCAAGCTTATCTGTACTATTTAAGTTAATTAGGTTCGAACGAAATTAGGGTAAAATATGTTTATTCTTTGTAAATATGGCGAACAATTTAGTTTTCATCTTATTATTTTTTGTTGATTTTAGTCCTTGTAAATTTTAATTTTTTTTAAATGCTCCCTGTTACCAATTGCTAATGAATAGTAGTTAGCGTAAAGTGGTTAGTTTTGTGCCATGTTATTACTAACTGGTAATGGGAATCGTTCATAAATTTTTTTCAATTTTATGAGGATCAGAACCAACGAAAAGGTTTCTAAAATAAATTTAGTTAAATTTACTGACATTGAAAACATTTTATAACCAAGAAACTGCTTTTCCGTGTTTGTATCTTTTTCAACTTTGCATTGTGGTGTTAAATGCTTGTGCTTGATGAACTTGACCTATGCTGAATAACTTTATACACTCGTGTCAAACTATGGGCAGCTCCGATCACAACTAGATGATGCTATAGCTAGTGAATGCCCATTTTGTGGTGACTTGATGATCCGAGAGATCTCTCTGTCTTTTATCCATCCCGAGGAAGAGCAACATGTGTTATCATGGGAGATCAAACCAAATGTTGCTGGAAGCCAGAGAAGTATCTCCTTACCTTCATGATTTTGAATTTGCTTGTATTGTGTGAAGAATGTATTTACAGGGCTGTTGTCAAAGCTCAGTGTGGTTGTGAATCTTGCAATTCTTTTTTTTTTTTAAATTTACATTTTGCTCCCTTTTTGTTATGCGATTGGCTCTCTAATTTGGTGATTACAAGGAAATTGTTACCCCAATCCCACTGTAAATTATGTACCTTGTTGTAACTTACCTTTGCATCCTTTTTTGGGTCCTAGAAAGCATTCGACACTTCATTTAATTTCTTAGCTATGTAGTGTTCTGCCTTTACCTTTGCAAATAAGAACACTGGCAAAAGAGTCTAAGAGCAATTCTAACGGATTTTTTTTTAACTTAATTTTAGACATAAGCAACCTGTAACGTTTATATACTCGATTGTAACTTCACCACGTCTACCGTTAAATTATAACGTTTTAATTTTATAGCAGTTTTTCTTTTTTGGGTAAATTCGGGTTAGAGTTTAATTTCTTTATTTCTTATAACATATACTTATAAGTTTAGAAGTGATAACTAAAATTCTATTTTTGTAAGTAACTTTAAATTTTATTAGAACACCTATTTCATTACTTAACTTCGTTACATATACTCAGTGAAAATTTAGCTTGATATAATAACTTGATGCATTATTTTGAAACTTGAAACAATAAAACTAAGAAATATTAAAAAATTATCTTCATACTCTTCCAACTCACCCACGATAGTAACCATTTCCCCTTATTTTATAATTGTTGTTCCTAGGAGCACTAGATTTCCCAATTTGTTCATTATAGTATCTACTTGGATTCACAATGGTTCTTCATCAATTCTTGAGTTATTATTCCTATTCGAACAAGATCTTGTTTCTAGAACACGTTGGAGAATAATATTGCATCACAGGATTAGGTGGAATGGAAAAGGTCATCGTTAAAGAAACAGCAAGAGGCAGATTTTTGTTTATTATGAGGGAACGAAAAACCAAACATTAATGTAACCCATCCCAAAATGTAGTTAAATTTAACTCTATTATGGAACCATGCTTTTCATTGAAAAATTAAGTTCACCATCACTAGTGGAAGGCTTTCCTTTGTTAGGTTTATTCACATGTTATCAAAGCCAATATTGGTTTTGTTTCATCAAAATTACAGGTAAATAACGTAATAGCATTTAAAACATCTCCAGATTCAACGTGTAATACAAGAGAATGTTAGATAAAATAAGTTGTAGTTTCATCTATATTTTCAAAATAAAGAAAAATACTTTAAAAATAATTGTCTCATACTTGTAATATATATCCAAACTAATTTATTAAGATCAATTTTCATGAATTATATTTTGAAAAGAAAGTGCAAATTTTATTGAGGAAGTGGTAAGTATAATTTTCTTAAGTTTTTCATCAAATATAAAATGGAAATGGTGAATACATCAAAGTATTATTTTCATACACAAATCTTTGAAAATAAAACACATAATAAAAATATATATATTTTCATAATTGTTAATAAAAGAGTTATTTTTTAAAACTGAAAAGCTCATTTTATTGGATTTTTTTAAAAATAAAAAATACGTAATTATAAATGTCTTGTTTTGCTAAATACTTAAAACATATCATCCTTTCTATATGAGCACAACCGTGCTCATGTATAAATCATACCAAAGTGGTATGACTTGTGTGTAACTGCAAAAGTTGAGTATGTGCATGTATAGTACAAGTACGCCTTGCTTTCGAGTTTTAATTGTACATAAGTTGCTATAAATTAGAGCAATTTATATGAGTACAATCGTGCAGACTGTCAACATGGTATTAGTTTGACTTATGTTTATTAAAAGTTTAGAAAAATTAATGCAATTAAAAAAGAGAATATGAACGAATTTATGAAACGAGAAAAACTCAATCATTACAATGATAACAGGGACATATTTGTGAGATTAGAAGAATTGAATGTAATGACTATGATAGGACATTTATTAAGACCTTGTTGAGTAGTGGCACTTAGAGATACTTTTTGTTTTCCATATGGGGAGTACACAATCACACTTGAAATTATTGTATTCCAATTAGGATTGCAAGTAGATGGTTGGCTGATAATGGTTGCACACATGATTGAATGAGATTTCATGGTCATGATATCTTGGCATTGTGCAAGGATATCCTCAAAATTGTCTTGTCTCAAAGTAACATGAAAGGGAATTATGCAAACTTTTCATGGTTTAGTGTAAATTTCCCAAAACTGTTAAAAATGCAAATTTAGAGATAATTTTGTCTTACTTGGGTATATTGTATGCAAGTAATTGATGAATTTTCATTTGTAGACAAGTCTGGTTCTAAAATGTGTCTTAAATGATTCTTGCATTTGAGTGATTATAACTCTTGATTGCAAATAAAATAACTTTCTTGTCCTTGAACAATTGTCCCACTTCCAACTATTTGTCCTCTACAAATTATGTCTTGGTAGGACATGCACTTTTTTTTTACTATTAAATTGAAGTAGTTAACTGTAGGGTCTAATTTCCTGCAATTCTACTTACTTCACCTAAAAATCCATCACTACTTGATCATAGCATCCAAATTAAATGTTGAATGGTAATTAGTCTATCATTGAGAATTAGAATGTGACTATTGTGTATGACTAATATCCTTTATCTTCTGATAGAACCTTCATCAATTTCATTTGGTACAAGGCCATCAAATTTCTCTTCTTCCACATCTTTGCATGCTCAATCAGATTTGAAAAGGGTTTATGAAGTTGTGCAAAGCTCGGACTAGCCACAATATCACCAATATTTTCTTTTTGTTGTTCAAAATTATTTATGTCAACTTGATCAATTAGGCAGCATGTGATATTTGTATTTAGAAAAGGATATATGTGGTATTTGTAATTCTTTTGCATAGAAAAGGATATATGTGGTATTTGCATTTAGAAAAACTTGATAGCAAAAATCCTTTAAAACTTCAAGTATAAATAAAACATTATTTTTTCAATTTTAATCAATAATACTTCAAATGTACAAATTCATTGACGTTGAATTTTTTTTTCATAAACTTAAAGTTATAAGGATTTTACGGTTAATTTTTAAATTTTTTTTATTCTTTTTAATTTGTTAAAATGAATTTTCAATACATTTTTTTTTCAAGAGAATATATATTTTTAAAATCTAAGAATTTTTCATAAAAAAAATTATAGGACAGTACTCTTATTATAATTTTTGAAATTTTATGAAAATGATATTTGTTCAATTGATTCTGTATGTATATAGTTTTTTTAATAAAACAAAAGTGATGTATTTATTCTTAAAATTTTTTTATTTTAAAATTAACTATCATATTTAAATTTACATATAACTAAATTAAAATTAGATTGATAAAGATTAAGTAAAATATATGAATTTAAGTTGTATATATATTTTAAAATTAAAATCTTAAAAAATAATTAATTAAATCAACTTAGATGCACATGGAAAATTTATCATATTATTGAAATTTTGTGTTAGGAACTTAATAGACAATGACATTAATGAGATAATGATTAAATGATATTTTTGTTTATATATTTATACTCACATTTGTAAATTAGCACACATGTATATTTATTTTTTATTTATTTTTTGTTATTATGTATTTCTGCTAAGGATACTCTCGTCCTCTGTCCTACAACCAGGGTCTGTGACTCTCTCTCTCTCTCTGTGTGCCTGTTTTCATGTCCTGTTATGGTATTCTTGACGAAATTCCAAGTTCTCCTTTTTTTAGAATAGGGAAGTACTTGCAATGAATACTATTAAATATTCTCAAGTCAACCGTTTTACCTATCCTTCTTACTTCTCTTTTATAGGCACTATATTGAGCTAATGGGCTTGGCGTGTCAACCCTAAATTAACTTTAAGATAATTTTAGATGATTAATCTTTTCTTTATTAGTTACTTATTCTAATCATGCTATTAATTTATTTTAAGATGATCGAGGGGTGTCGGTACCCTAAGACAAGGACGAAGGGGTAATTGACACTGCTCATTCAGAGGTGGGCCAAGGGAGTAATTGGCACTTCTCGTCCAAAGGTGAGGCCGAAGGAGTAGTTGGCATTCCTTGTCCAAAGGTGAGGCCGGAGGGGTGATTAATATCTATCTTCCTAAAATAAGGCTGAAAGGATATTCGGTTCCCTTTATTTATTAAGAGTGACTGAATGGACCCTGTCAGGTACATTATATTTAAATTAAACAATATTAAATAAACTCAATTTAAATAATATTTTTGTTTCTATAATTGATTCACATTTGTAAATTGCTTCTTACATTAAAATATGTAAAAAAAATAAAATTTAAATTGAACATTAAAAGTGTGGAAAAATTAAACTGAACATTCATTGTGACAAGGAAAATTTTAGAATTTCAAAGGATTTACGGTTTTAGAACAAAAATTGGCGAGAGGCTTCGGTTGATGATGAGGAGGATGCGTTGGCAACCTCTTGATGCGAGGATGACGATCACATATTTCATGTCAGTTTCATTAAGATTAAAAGTCAGAAAATACGAAAATAGCCTTGTGTATGCAGCACATTTCAGATTTTTAGCGTAGTTATGATTTTGGGCTGAAAATGTCGACACGAACTTTGATCAACGATCGGAAAGCGGCATTGGAAAGCGTGAACTGCTCAGCTGATGGAAATGCCGCTGAATGTCACATTGATGGAGGATCAAAGTCAGAAATGGGTGAAAATAGCCACTGTTTTCATGGTAGAAACCAAAAATTATGAAGAAGGGTTAATGATTCGAAGATCCTATCATGCATGCATGATTTTAGCCATGTAGATGGTGATTTCCAGCGCTCCAAGCTTGCTAAGACCAGCTTCAATGTAGAGGCCGAAAGAAGAGTCCATTGGCCGACACCAAGAGCATGCAGGTGCCGAAGCACACTAAATAAAGTATACTGCAATTCACAATTATGATACTGACGTGTCTATCCACTAAGGGTCCCTATCTCACTAGTTTTGTCTCTTTTTTTGAATTCTCAATTTTATCCACCTAGTTTACTACTTATGATTGAAAAGATGTTAGATTTTTGCAAGCATTTGCTTTCCTTGATTTAATCGTTAAGGTTTTATTACAAATTCAAAGTCAAAGATAAGCAATTGGCTAGACTCAATAGTGTAGTTATACTTACATGTCAATTCTCTCTAAGCATTCTCATAAACGCATACACGCCCCTTCAGGGTCTTATAATAAGTATTTCAATAGCCTAGGCTTTGGCCACCACCACACTTTGTATTAGTCAGTGCCCTAAGTCAATTGGCAGAATAGCTTTCACCATTTTACATTCGACCGAGACACGTCGCTAACT